CCCCCCCCCCCCCCCCCCCTGGTTTCGCCCATGGTGGCGCTAAAGGAAAGTAACTAAAAGATGCGTTTTGTTGACATCCACATTGCTCTGCAGTGGTGTGCGCTTCTGCTGCGGCTCCACCTTTCTCCAGCACCTGCCGGTAAACTTCAGTGCGCTCGGCGGGGCGCGGTCCCGAGGGTGGAGTCCACCGCAGCAGCTCTGGGAACGTTGAACTCATCTGCATTCTTGGCACATCAGCTGCATTCGTTGTTGCTGCTCCTCTTCTCCGGGCTCGCTCTTTCGGGGAAACTGGTTTAACCGATCCGTTTCTAAGGAAAAGACGGGGCGCCGAGTCGGGAAGATGATGGCACCGGACCCGCTGCGATCCGCCACGACCGTCGGGGGCGCGGAGGACACCTCGCTCGCGCTGCCGTCTGACAGGAGCCTGAGCTCCGGGAAGCAGCGCGTGCTCGAGCAGGTTCACAGCATTAAGAGGACCAAGTCCAAACACGGCCAAAGCAGCCCGCTGTCTCCTACAAGTATGAAAACTACTTTTACACGACTTTATTTGAAATGAGTTATTTTTCTCTCGTCGGCGCGCGTGCTGTTTGCCAGCTGTCTGCTTAATTTATAACGTTTTTGAGGTTTTTGTTATGGGGGGAAAAGTGCGTCATCAACAACTTTCAGAGAGGTGGCATCAACCAACCTGTCGGAAGGAGGCTCATTTCTGCGTATTAATAATTACAGGAATCCAGAACAAGTTCGAGGTGAAACGTGGGGCAAAATATTCTAGTTCAAACTAGTTGCGTGCGTGGGAACGGGACGGCTTCCGTGGAAAAAAAAGTGACAAGTGGGTGCGTTGGTGGCACAGTAGCTGCATCCAGCAGGAAATGTGTAGCTAGCTTGGCAGCAACAGAACAAGCTATTTAAACTGGTTGAGCTCCTCAGGTGTAAAACAGCAGCCAAACCTATTCCTCATGAAACCCATAAAAATTCACTGACACTGGTAATTATGTTTTAGTTTTCCAAAACAATTTGTTTTTTATGGCTTGAGCCATTTTTACTATCTCTGCTAAGATTGATAGGTTTATTTGTGGAGCTTGAAGAAAACAGTGCAGGGCTTCTTGTTTAGTTGGGGTTGTCATGGCAACAGCACAAAAACTAGTAAAACGAGCGGTTTGACCACTTTCAGAAGTGAGAAAGAAGGTGTTTAGATTGACTTGTAATTAACTTTTACGACTTTTTTCCGTTTTGGTATAGATGGTTTGTCTCTCTGGGAAACGCTCCTTTCATAATAGTTTGTTTGCACAGATAATAAACAAACTAACAAATAAATAAATAAAGGTTTTGTTTCTTAGACTTGGTACAGAATGGGAGTTGGTCTCTCCTCCAACCAGCCAGAAAGATTGTTCAGTGAAACCTCCCTCACTTTACAACTAAATTACAGCTCAGAGCCTCTTATTGTGACAGACATGATGTTATGTCTGTCTAAAGGACAAGCAGGTGCAAATTATAGTAATTCTGAAGTGGGTTTGTAAAAGTAAACCTTTGAAAAATCTGCAAGGGAAGCAAAATGAAGCATGTTGTTCATTATATATACATGTAAGTAATAAAAATGAGAGGAATTACACATTGTATCCTCTGCTGAACTATTTTTCATTCATTTTTTTTTAATACTTAATGCCTATTTGTAAGTTAGTTTCATGATTTTTTTTTTTCTGCCAACAGGCCCATCACCCAAAAATTTCACCACCTATAATGAGTTTGGGACGTACAAGTTGATGGCGTCTAAAGGAAATGACCTCGTGAGTCGCACCAACTCCACCATGTCGGCAGGCTACAACAAACTGGTAATTGTTTCCTTTCTGTTCAGCATCACATGCTTTTAATCAGAGCACAAAACTTTTATCTTATAGATTTTACAGTAAAAAAAAAAAAAAAATCACAATTTTTAATAAATCTCAAATTTTGGTCAACCATTTCAATGCTGGAAGTTTATAAAATTATTATTAAAGTGGTGTAAAACACTAGAAAATGGTTTGAGGAATAACTGTCTGAAACTAAAATAAATAGTCTAAACCGCTGAAACATTTGTGCGTGTGTGCACACAAGCAGTCTAATAATGCAACGCATCTTTATAGTCCTTTCCTCACAAACAGCCATGGAAGTGTTTTTATACATGAATTAAAGCTGTTGGTTAAAAAACAACAAAATAAAAGCAGTGTCAGAGTATTAGCCGCAGTGTGTCCATTGCTTTGGACTACTGATATGTGTGTGTACTTATACACACAAACTGCTGGCACAAAACATTACAAATGTTACAAAACAGTAAGCATCAAGACTGAACAGTAACTTGAGTCGAGATAGAAGTCAAACAGTTCTTATTGTGTTTACATCTGATAAAATACTTTGTAGATGTTATTGTTCTGTTTTGAACAGCTCGGGTTGTGCTGCGTTTGGATTTGATTTCTTACAGAAGGAGACAAAAGGCAAAGACGTTTATTTTTAACCCTATTTGTTGGCTCATCATCTGGAATGAATGCAATGTTTTAAGGATCAATAATTCTCTGTCATTATTTTCTCACAAAACATTCAATTTGCAAAATCACAAATGACTTTACTAAAACTTTTTTAAAAATAAAAACAGATACTTTCACAACTTTACGGCAGCTAGGTTACTGTGCATCTGTCTTTAAAGGTTACTGTGCCTGTCTTTAAAACAACAGAACGTTCTCAGACACCCAGATTCTTATGAATCAAAGTGATGACATTTAGAATGAAGGTTAAACGTGACATAACTCTTGCGATTATATCCTCTGATTTTTACGTTTTGACCGAACTGACGTCGTCCCACAGCACAAATTGTAAGTCAGGCAGCCGTTTTGCATCTTGTTGGTTTTGTTTGTTTTCCTCTGTTTTTTAAGAGCAACACATTTGCAAAACTAGACAAAAACGAGTAACGTTGACTGCAGCTGTGTGTTGATGTGAGTAATTGTTTGTGGGTGTGCTTACCTCTTTACTCTGACCTGACCTGACCTGATATAGAACTGAGACATTTCTAGGGAGCCTGTTGGTGTTTTCTTGCTGACGAAGGCTCATAATCATCACATCATGAGATCCATTAGTCTTGTGTTGATCTCTAAAGAACGATAAAGAGCTAAATATTTATATAACCTACCATACAGCACTGCATACATTAACACACATGGAAATTGTTTTTAAGGTTGAAAGCTACTTTGTTGGATAAATCTTATTTGATAAATGTTTAATCTTTATCTCAGTTTGTACATATATGTTGAATACCACATTACAACAGTTTTGTATTCTCAGTTGAAGTGTTGCCTGCAAGGGACAATTCAGCTGATATTCAGATAAAAGCGACTTTTAATTTGATATGAACTCTACAATTTCATGTGATTTCAAAGCCTGGAGGCATTGTTTGATGGGTAGGTACATATAATAAATGTAGATTTAATCAAAAGATAATTACAAGCTAACTACAATAGCTAATGGTTTGATTTTGTTAGGTTGTTCTTTTAATAAATATGGCTATTACCGGTGTCTGATTGTAAACGTAGCGTCAAACTCAGAAACTAAACAGAGGAGTTTAAAAAAACATTAAACGGGCTTAATTAAAACCCTGAGCTTTGGATCTGTGTCACTTCTTTCTATTTCAGTTTTTTTGATGATTGTGTGGCTTTTTATATATTAGCACATTTTTGTTCATCTTATATTTTACGATTTTTTTTTACGCATTTGCTTATTTTTCGCATCGATTGGCATATTTTTATGGAGTGGCATTTTATAAACATTGTTTGTTTTCAATATTGTGGACCTTCTGCGCTATGTCACCAGGACAAATTCCTTATCGTGTGAACTTTGCAGTAAACCTGCTACAATTTACAAGTTATAGCCAGCGCTCATTATCTGTATGATGCTAATTTATTCAGTTGGGACGTGATGCAACCAGAGATGGCTTTTAGTATTTTTTAGGGTTATTTGTAAGTCACTATTGTTTATTGTAATACGTCTACTTTTCCAGCCAAGTCACAACTAATACACGGGTGTTTTAATTTTGTAGACTCAATAAGTGTTTAGCAGCATGAATGTTAAGATAAAATCTATGCTGTTTTTTTTTTTTTTGGGGGGGGGGGTGCATAAAGTATTTTATGATTTACTGTGTATCATGAGACTCCAAGGGATTTGCCTAACAGCATTTTTTCCTCTGAAAACAACATATTTAGTACTACAATTTTTGTAGAAAGTTTTTTGAACCACATTATTCTTAGAATAAATCTTTTTGGAAATCTTAAAGCATGTTAAAACTAAGAAAAAAGATGTATAGATAGTTTTCCAATTACTTAGTTATGATCATAACATCCATGACAAAAGGAGCTCAGAGGGTTTGTTGCTGTAGTGAAGGAGGATATGGAAAGAAGGAGCTGTATTATGAGCAGACACACGTCAGCGGCAGTACACTGCTGGTCTTTTTGGCATCTGTATTTTCCCTGTTTGTATTTTTTTTTGTCTTGTTCGATCTTGGATATAAGGAAGTGCCTATTTTTGAGTCAAAAAGGAAGAGAACGTGCAGCACAGTGAGCGCAAACACGCAGTGGTTATCAAAGTGTGCAGCTGACGGGTGTAAAGACGCCTTCACTGCCAAATGGAGCATCTGTGGGGTGGTGTTTACTCAGTAACCTGTCTGGTTTAAAACAGGAGAAAGTTGTCTTTGTGTGTCTAAGCTTCTAACTTTCACACAATCCTGAACCTTCCTGATGAATTATCCAAGTCAATGTGTCAAGATGTCAGCTGGGGGCGTTTCTATAAGCTGTGATTAATGATTTTTGGATGTTGGAAAAACTTTCCTCATACTTTTTGTGTGTGTGTGTCAGAACGAAGTGACAAGTTCTTCTTTATTCTTTTTAAAATTTAAACAAACTGGAGACACATGATTGATTGCAAAATGTCTTCTTACTTAAACACAAATTATTTATTTAATTATATATTTTTTGTGTTGATGAAAGTTTCAAATTGTTACATATTGGAAATCATAATTATAAAATAATGTTAGGCTGAGTTTATGTTATAAGTTAAATAATGCTTTATTTGGTTTATAAGTACAAAATGGCTCAATTGTAACATTTCTTGTTTAATGCAGACAGACAGGTTTGTCTTTTATTGAAAATATTTAACTTTATCTACTAATAACTAAGATCAAATAAGAAAACTAAGAGTATTCAGGCTTTCTGCCAGGTTATATTTCTGCCTTTGGTTGTAGTGAATGTTTTTAAAAACTTACTTTTGTTGATTGAATTTCTGCTTCAGTGAAGCTCAGAAAATGTGGCATATTGAGTATTCCTCCTGAGTTTTCTTCTTTATTTTTTAGGCAAATTACCAGAAGAGTCGTAGTCAATCTGCTAGATTTCCCATTAGAAGAAACGTCAGCTCGTCGAGCGCATGGGAACAGCAGATCAACACCACTGTCGGACAAAAGAAACCCAACGGACTGACAACCAGTCGCAGTGATCCTACTTTGGCCCCTCCTCGTTCTCCCGGAACAGCTACCATGGTGATCATTTTTTGTTTAGTTTTTGTAAAAATAAAATAAATTCAGGTATTCTGCATAATAATAATAATACTAATGTTGAAAATGTTTTTATATTTTTAGAGACTCAAAGGGCAGAATGCTTTTCAAGTTCATCAGCAGAGCACCTCCTCCATGGTTAATGGCGTATACCACTCTGACAGCCAAACACGCATCAACCAGCCACCTTCTAACCAAATTCAAACGGATGGCAGGATGAGCACAATCAAAATGTCCAAAATAGAGCAGACGTCAGCGTGAGTTTACTTATCTCTTTACATTCTGCTGTGACTCGTTAAACTCATCACAAAAAAAAAAAACACTTTACACTATTAAGTTATTATTCACTGAATCCAGACAAACTAATTCTCAATGGTGTCCAATGATTCCCGCTCCTGTTTGTGTAGGGTAAACTCTGCAATGAGCATGTCGGATAATACTCTTAAAGAAGCTGTGGAGTTGCTGTGTTCCACTGACGAAAATGGCCAGCTGTATGGAGCCAACTTCATCCAGCACGTCACCTTCAACGAGGAGAGCACCAAAACAGAGGTTGGACTGATAAACACACATCTGGTTGCCATGAGAAAGCACACCCTCCAAACGCACACATGGTGGTATTTATTCTCACACATTCTTTGTGTTTGGATCATCTTGTGTTTTGTTACAAATGTAGGAGAGTTATGTGAAGAACTTAGTGTAACCTGAGAGTTTGTTTCCCATCTCTCATTGCTGCTTCTTATGTTCGTAATCTGTAGTGCTGTCAGTCAGATGCTGCTCACTTAGAAATAATACACTTACGATTTAGAGCTATATGTAGAGAGAAGGATGTTTAGAGAAAAATATTTTTGATTAACTTCAATCCCATTTGTTTGTCATTCTCAAACTTGCGACTGATATTGTGCACAAACACTCATATCACAAAACACTTTGTTCAAGCCATTTTATTTTTTGGTGTTGCACATCTTGAATTTTGTAAACTGTTGGGACCAGGAGAAGTGTAGATGAGTCTGCAACCAGTTTAATTTTTGCACGTTTTTAGAGGTACTGTACAGTAGTGATTATCGCGGGGTTATGTTCCAAACACCCCCGTGATAGGTGACAAACCATGAAGTAGGAAAGCTATATTTATTTTAGTGTTTCTATATATTTTAAGTCTTTACAAACCCTTCACGCACTCTTACAATGTTCTAAACTCTTAAACCTACGTCATTTTAACAACATACGTATATGTACTGTACAGTACTGCAAAATTTTACTCACCAGCTCTGCAGAACAGCAGCTCGGTTCCAGTCAGGCTTGATTCCGGTTCTGCAGATCTACCCTGCAGTGATGAAGCCCACCGCCCTGTCCAGGTTGATGTGCACGTGGATAATTGAGCTTCAGGAAGCTTCAGGATTATGTGCGACTTTCCTGCCAGTTCTGTGAACTTAATGTAGATCGTTGCTTCTGACTTGGCATTGCACAACTTTCCCTCCATTTGGGCAGAAAGCAGCAGCTGGAAGCACTGTTGGCTTCTGGGTACTGTAGTTCTTTTGACTGCAGGCAAAACAGTGTAGGCTTAGTGAAAGAAAACTACAAAATGGCGGTGCCCGTCTAAAGTTCTTTTTCATTAACTTTTTATCCCATACTGTCCCTATCTCATGAGTAATATTAAAGTTGACAATCATTGGAAAACTGCGAAAGAGCGGGGGACTACTGTAAAACGAAAACAAAAGCCAGAAAGGTACGTGCTGTAAATGTTTCAAAACTTTTTAAGAAACACCCAAAAGTAAAGCAGATAAGAGAAAACTGAGTACCGTATTTTCTGGCGTATAAGTGGCTCCGGACTAAAAGTCGTATCAGACCAAAACAAAAGCATAAAAAATATATCATATACAGTATAAGTTGCTTTGGCGTACAAGTCGCATTTATTATGCATCACCGCTGACCCGTCACGTTTATTATACATTTATTTAATGGTCAAAACAGCTTAATTTATCCTGGTTGGTGCAGCACCATCCATCCATCCATCCATCCATCCATCCATCCATCCATCCATCCA